CCCATAAGGCTAGGGTGCTTGGGGAGCACCCACTATACCGGGTGACCATAGGAGTCCGGGAGAACCACGGGGACAGAGGTCCTGAGTAGCTGTGCCCAGGGAGTCATAGGCAGCCTCCCAACTATATATATATTCCAGCAAGACGTGGCGGGAGAGAATTAGAGGGTGCCTTGGGCCGGCCTGACACGGAGCGAGGGACCTTAAGGAGCACACGGCCATCCGCGAGGACCCCGCCGTGACAGCATCCTTAAGGAGCGACCACTCATCATGGACTCCCCTCTCTGTTAGATCCTGGTTTCTCAGGGCCTCAGCAACCAGCCTCCTGAGCTTATGAAAGTCAGTTTTCCTAAAATCAAGGATCTCTGCATTGCCAGTTTTGCCAGCTTTGTGATGAATAGAGAAAGCGATCAACTCATGATCACTGTCTCCCAGCTTCCCTTTGATTCTCAGGTCTCTCACTAGATCATCCCCTTTGGCCAGTACCAGATCCAGGAGCTCCTTACCTCTTGTTGGCCCATAGACTTCTTGAGACAAGTAGAGCTCATCAATGCAGGTGAGAGAGCTACGTGACTGATCAGATTTGGCAGAGTGCTCCTCCCATGAGATGTCAGGGTAGTTGAAGTCACCCATGACAACCATGCACCGAGCCTCTGCCAGTTCCGCTGTGAATGCATGGTTTTGGTTAGGAAGTCTGTAGTAGACATATCCCCTACACCATGTTCCCCCCATAATCTGACCCAAAGAGTCTCAAGTCACCCTTCTTGGGTGCCAAACTCCACTTCTAAAGAAGTGTACTGCTCCTTCACATAGGAAAAAAAAAAAAGCTACACCCCTGCCCTTTCTAGCAAGGCGATCCCTCCTGTACAAGGGATAGCCATCTATACATGTGAGTCCAGTCATAGGTGGAGTCCCACCAGGTCTCTGTTATTCCTATGAGATTGTATTGATTTTTATTTAGCAGGAGGGCCAGCTCCTCCTGTTTGTTCCCCAGGCTCCTGGCATTTGTACACAGGCAAGTACACCTGCCATCGGAAGTCCTAGACTTCCCAGCACTCCTGGAAGAGTCCTGTCCCTGGGCTGGGGTAGGAGTGAGTTCCATTGGGAAAATACTTGTGTCCCCTGTGCTGCATGACTTACTAATTCTGTGGTTGTCGCTTGGTGGGCTCGCACTGGTGGTTGTCCCCCTATCCCCCAGTGAGCTTAGTTTAAAGCCCTGTCAAGTAGGTCAGCCATTCTGGCCAAGAAGAGCTTCTTCCCCATTGGAGTGAGGTGGAGGCTGTCCCTTCCCAACAGACGAATGCCTCCACTTCTGAAGTGTGGGCTATGGTCAAAGAAGCTAAAGCTTTTGTGATGGCACCAGTGCTGCAGTCTTCTACTGACTTCATCAATACATCTCTCCCTCCTGTGCCTGTGACCCGTAACTGGGAGGATTCAGGGAAAAACTACCTCAGCCCTGAAATCCTTGAGCCCCGCACCCAGAGTCTTGTACTCACTCATAACTTGGCTGGGATTGCTCTGAGCCATGTCATTTGTGCCCACATGGATGAGGAGCATGGGGTAGTGATCGGAGGGCTGGACAAGTTTCAAGATCCTCTCAGCTACATCCCAGATATGGGCCCCTGGGAGGCAGCAGATCTCACAGGCCGAGGGATCGGAGCAGCAGATTGCTCCCTCTGTCCCCCTCAAGAGGGAGTCACCCACGACGATCACTCTGTGTTTCTTCCTTGGGGTGGTTGCAAGTTGCCTTTCTTCCTGTAGTGCTGGAGCTGGCAGCTCAGTTGGCTGTACTGGTGCTGCGAGGGGTTCATATCTGTTGTGAAGTCCAGCGGGGTGGTGACCCTGGCGCAGAGTGCCTTAAAGCCAGAGACAACCTTTGCCCAAGCAATCCCCAGCTGGACTTCATGGGAACTCCTCTTGTATGCCTTCATCCTGCTAGCTTTCCTTGCTCCTCCCTCCTCATTCTTTGGGCAAAAAGCCTGGTGGTAGGCATTGATCTCCTCTTCATCATCCTTGATGGCATGCAGCCTCTGCACTGCAGCCCAGAGCTCCCCTATCTGGCACTTCAGAGACTCTAATGTGGAGCACACCCCACAAGGGAGGCTGTCTTTGTTCCTGATCCCAGATGCCTGCATATGTGCTAGGTAGCCCCCACAGCCAAGAGCCAGGGGCTCCGTCTGGGTGGAGGCTGGAGCCATGGGCTCTTTCTGGGTAGAGGCCTCAATGGTACCAGATGGGGGGGGCCTCCAGCTGCAGGGGGAGGGGCGGGGGGATCTTCAGGGTGCAGCATGTCACCACCATTATGCAGGTAGCAGCCGGGGCTACTGCTGTGCTGACCCTTCTCTTCAGGCTCACCACCTAGATCCTTGTGCCCCTCTTGCTTGCCCTTCTGCACAAACTCCCGTGCTAACTCCCATGCTAAGTCCCATGCCAGGCCCAGAGCGCGCCTGTTTGCGCGCTCTGTTCATGCGGCTCTGGCCGTGCAGCTCCCTAGGGGTGAAGTTCGAAGTGAAGTTTGTAGGCTCGTCTGTGAAAGATGTTTTGAAAATCCCTTTGAGAATTAAAACTGAGAGATTGGAGAGAGAGTGGGTTTGTGTAAGAAATGTGCCCCACAGGTAATAGGGTATTCTTGTCTCTGATAGATTTTTGGTGTGCATTCATTCTGGTATACAGCTGCTGTTTGGTTTCTCCTACATATTTTCCATCAGGGCATTTGGTTCACTGGATGGATGAATGGAGGGGCACAAATCTCATTAGTATCTTTATCACCTTGACAACTGGGGCTGTAACAATGTTTGCCAGTCACTTTCTTGGCTGCACTTGGCTCATGCTGTAGGCAGCTGTTCAGGCACCAGCACATACATACATACAGAGTGAAGTTCAACATCTCACTCAGCCCAGGATGATTTAAGTCTAAATGGTGCCCAAATAATCCAAGAGGTTACCCTCTTTTGACAGATGGCAGCATGAGGTATGAGAGCCAGCTGAGCTTGTCACACACCATCCAGATCCTGCTTGCCTTCTCCCTGGAATCACATCATATAGCTGTAGCAATGATTTAGGTCCCCTGAACCCATTTCATGAAGTTGTCCAAGTTCTATGCCAGAAGCAGGTGACTGTCCAGAAGCAATAACCTGTAGAACCCAGGGAGCCTGTTGCTTCTTGACTTTTGCTGTACCAAGGTCCCCTCTGGGCTCAAGGTTAACCCTCCTGTGCCATCAGATCCTGCCAACACTAATTCTAGAAGTGACAACAGCATGGATGACTGGTGCCTCCTGATCCTGGGGGAGCATCAGTGGCTGATTGTTGGCTGGGCAGAGAGGTCCCCCAGTGGCCCCCCCACTCCCCAGCCAGCAGCAGCCAGTCTCAGGGGGGGCACATGTCCCCCCATACCCTGCCTATGCGTCACCTATTGGCAACTGTAATCACTTATTTTCATCCCAAGAAAATCTGGTCATAAATGGCCACATTTGTGCAGTTCTTCATCCTTCTGCATAAGGCATCATTTCATGCTGTGCTTTCACTTACCCAGCCCTAACCTGACAGACCACTTTCAGATCCCCACCTCCCGAAGAGAAGCCCTGTGCACAACTACTGGAGCTCATGATAGAAAGGAGGCATTCAAGGGGCATATGCACTTTTTTTCCCTTTAATCTTGCGCAGAGCAGGAAAAGGTGCTCAAGACTCATTCTTCTACTTGGGCTGAGCCCCTTCCAGCTCACCTCCCTAACACAATTGCATGTACCAAATCCTCCCAATAATCGCTGCACCACCATTTCATACAGCTGAAACCTAATGCAGTTAGAATTCAGGCATATAATTCCCCAGGGGTTATTTCCAGCTCCAGAAGGGCAGTGACAGTTGTTTTGGTTTGTACTTTAACTCTGGGCTTCCTGGTTTTCAGAACACAGATTTACTGTGCTCAACATTCTCAAAAGGCCTGAGATAACGCCAGGCAATCTCACGTCTGCATTATGAAGGTTAGTGATAACATGTCATTGAGTTCACCATTTGTTCAGTGATTTCAGATGTCTTGTACCCAAAGACAGCTACTAAACCTCTGAACAATAACCAAGGGACCTATTTTGTGGTACCATGGAACTTGATGCAATGAAAGTGTTTCTTAAGGAATTGAATATCAGTGAGTTAAGTTAAAAATATCAACTAGAAAAGACAAATCTCTAGACAACTGGTACCTAAAATGGATTTTTGAAGATGTATGTTTCATTCAAGATCACTTATCCATATCCACTCCCCAAACCTTAGTGGTTTTGATAAAATAGAGGCCTGCAGAATTTGTTCAGATAAATCCAACCGACCTTGCCAATTCAACCTATCCAATGCAAATGCAGTGACTTGCTTTCTAACCTCTTGTTGTTCCTCAAGTAACGAGATTCGGGTGTGCAGAAAGCAGCAAAACACTTGCCCCCTTTTCCCTTCCTCATGTGTTCTCTCTTATAACATTTAACTCCATGATCCTGAACTCTAGCAGCTATGGAATATCTAGGATTTGATACCCTCCTTTCTTTTGTTGTCCCCACATTCCAATTAGTCACCAGCCCTTGCACAGCCCCCCTCCATAGATAGCCAGCTATGCAGGAACTCTACCTCTTGTCACTTCTTTGATAACAACATCCTCTTCATCCACAGAGAGAGCGGACACCCCTCACCATGCATACTACAAGTCCTGCAGGACAGCAGCCCACCATTCCAGAACAGAGCTCTTCTGTAATACCTATATCCAGGTATTTTCCCCATGCACACAAGGCCTAGAACACCTCCAAGGAAAGCCCAAGTGTGACAGCAGCGGGTAGTGGCAGTTCTGTCCATAGCAGTACACTCTTCCCACTAAGCCAGTGCTGAGTCTGTGATTCAGCACAGTTTTAAAATGCTGCTGTAAGAAGACTAGTATTTTGATATGGGGTGGGAGGGGAGGGAAGGGAGGAAAGAAGAAATGTATAATCACATAGAACTCTTCATGAGAGTGAGGAGCAGTATCAGATTCCAATGTGGTCATTACAGACAACTCATCTAACCACTTGCCCCGAAGTTTCAAGTAGACTTCATTTTCTCACAAACATTTGTGCAGAGTTTCTATGGTCATTAACAGCTATTCTGTTCAGCCCCAAAGGTAATTGCATTTCAAGGTATGTGTAACAGGTTACTGCCTCAATGCCTTCGAACACTTGCAGTCCATCCTTCACCCTGCCAGCTGTTGCTGCCTAAAACACCTCTCAGCATGCCCTAATCATATACAAACAAGGTTCTTTGGGTAAATCTGATATCTTTTATTAGACCAACTAATATAGTTGGAAAAATTCTTCTTTGCAAGCTTTCAGGTACAAACACCCTTTGTCAGCCTGAGGAAGCGTATGCAGTTGGCCTGTGCTCTTCCTGAATGGAATATAAAAGAAGCCAGAGGTCAGTATGCATGCAAGAAAGCCAGTCAGTGAAAATGTAAATTGAGTCAGTTAATAGGCAAAAGACAGGTATTGGCGTGGGGAGGTAAGGGGAATGTAGACCTGGTAATAAGAATATAACTGGTAAATAGTAGAGAGGTTACCTGGTGTCAGATGTCAGGCAGGTTATAATGTGTCATAAATTCAATATCTATTGGTCCATGATTTTTTGTATTCAGGAGGTTGATGAAGTGAAGTCTGTGAAAGGTGTTTTGTAAATTCCCTTTGAGGATTAGAGTTGGGAGATTGGAGAAAGAGTGGTTTTGTTGCGAGACGCATGCACTCACGTAATTGGATAGTTTTGTCTTTGATAGATTTTTGGTGTATGTTCATACTGGTACACAGTTGTTGTTTGGTTTCTCCTACACATTTTCCATCAGGGCATTTGGTGCACTGGATGAGATATATTACATTTCTGGAGGTGCGGGTGTAACATCCAGGAATGCTGATGGCTCTGTTGTGGGGTGTAGTTATTGTGGGGGTAGTGGAGATATGTTGGTAGGTTTTATATGTCTTGTCATGCTATGGTCTGGATCCATTCAGTGTTTTTTGGGCCATAGGGATTTTGCTTCTGGAGATGAGGTTGGCGAGGTTTGGTGCTTGTTTAAAGGCTATGGTTCTGGGAAGATCTCTTTAAAAATTGGGTCTTCTTTTAGTATGGGTTAAAATTATTTGAGGATTTTCCATATAGATTCTAGGGAGGGATGATATCTCGTAACTAGTGGTGTGTGATTTCATGCATGGGTGACTGGTGCCTCCTAATACTGGGGGGGGCACCAGTAGCTGATCGCCAACTGGGGTGGGGGGTGGTCCCCCAGCAGCCAATCGCTACCATCGGCAGAAGAGCCAGTGGCAAAACTGAAAGTACTAGCGGCAAACCCAGAGGTGCCATTGGCGCTTCTCTCAGAGAGGGCACAGCCAATTTCATGGGGCGCATGTGCACCCATGTGCACCCCCTACGCATTGCCAATGGATTCATGGGGGTTTTCTTTCTGTACTGCAGCAGTTCTTCACATGGTATCTGAGCGGGTCTTTCAAAAGTGCGATCTCTCTCTTGGGGAACGTCCTTGTTGAGTGAAAGCCCTTTTGAGATTTGTGGGGTGACAATCACAGGTGTACTCCTCAGTGCAAATTTGGTGGGATTCGTGGGACTGGCTGTATATTATGGCTTTCTTGGTGTGTTTGGGGTGATTGCTGGTTCTGTGCAGATATGTATGTTGATTTGTGGGTTTCTTGTATATATGGTAGTCTGTATTTTGACATTCTGAATAGTGATTGTAGTGTCTAAAAAGGAAATGTTGGTGGTGAAGTATTCAAGAGAGAGTGTGATGGATGGGGTGTTGATTGTTGAATTTCTGATGGAAAGCAAGCAGAGATTCCAGGTTTTCAGTCCAAATGATGAAAATGCCATTGATATATCTTAATATATAGCAAGGATTTGATGGTGCAGTCCTTGTCTTTCACCAAACAAAGTAAGCAAACAAAAAACCTTATCATCCTGAACCCTGGGATTAGTCTCCTGGGGCTTCAGCCTTTCTGGCCTAGGCTTGTTCTCCTCATAGTCCAGAGATCTACTACCTCTAGTACTTCTCCTTCACTCCTCCCCCTGGGATTCTTAATTCCCAGTGAGCCAGGCTCCCATTAGCCTTCCCACAGCTGCAGCCCTTCAGCTACGATAGCTGCCTCCTCTTAAGAAGACAGGCCAACCTGTTACAGCATGGTTTGTAAGGTGCTTTGGGATCTGAATGAATGCAATGCATTTTGTACTGTAAATTATTGGATAGTGTTGCAATCCCTTCCACTTCCCCAAAGAACATCCTTCTCTTCAATAGTGTCCAGACTGATGTAGGATATCTTCTCTTAGCACTCAGATGAATCCTGTAAGGTACAATCACCCTCTTTAGCTTGAAGATGTTTTCCTTCCCCTTTGCAAAATAGGCTTTGCAGAGTGTTGGTAGCAGAACATGCAGAGAGCTACGAAAAGGCATTCAGTATTCATTGCCTACTGCTAGGAAAGAAAAATATGGCGCTGAAGTCTGAATCCTTCAGGGCAACAAGTGTTTTCAGTGGGACACCAAGGCTAGGGACTGACATTACACATAAACTGGTTTAAGTGATCAGAAACTGGTTTAAACCTGTAACAGAACAGACATGCAGTGTACATAAACCAGTTTGAAAATGACGGAAACTGCTTTGAAATAAACCTGGTTGAAGGTAGTATCAGACTAAACTGATTTGAGTCAAACTGGTTTATGCAATGTCTGTCCCAGACCCCTTCCTGGTTTAAATGAAACCAGAGTCCCCGAGCATCCCAGCATGCTCTCTGGACTGGGGTCTACGCTCCAGCCTAGCAGGACTGGCCCTGCTTCTCTGCTTCTTGGCTGGAGCTCCGGCAGAGACTTGCAGGCACAGCAGGGTCTGCCTGGCTTCCCTCTGCCTGCCCCCCACCCCCCCGCCTCCCCCAACCACTCAGTGCTCAAGTAGGGATTCCTCCCTCCTCTCTCCTACAGCACAGACTGTAGTCAGCATGTGGTAATGCTGAGCGGGGTCTGTGTAAGACAGACAGGACATAGGCAGACAGAATAGTGTCTGCTTAGGGCTTTTTGAAGCTAATCAGCAGGTAGCTGGTAATATTCCTCCATTCCATCCTTGGAAAAAGGTTGTTTATGAAGAGCTTTAACTAATGAAAGAGGCATTTGTTTTGCTGATGGGCTGATAAATGTTGTGTAACTCCCTTCTGTGTAACTAAATTTTGTGTAAATCCCTGCTGGCTGGATGGTGGGGGGAGGGGGCCCCTCCCTAATCACAGCATCCTGCTGGGACCTGGCCACATCCTCCTCAGGTCAGCAGTGTGGAAGGGAAGAGAGAGGCGTTCTAGTGCCACCCCCCAGCTTCTAGCCTGAGCCACTGCAGGCATGTGCCGGCACTTCCTCAGTCTAGAGGGGATGTCTTAACGCTTACAAACGGGTTCAGCCTAGCCAGGTTTGACTAACCTGCAAAGATTGAATCAATTCAGGCTTAGGCTTTTTGAATGTCTGTCCCTATCCCAAAGCTTAAAAACTCAAGGCTAGAGTTTTCTCTCTTTTATAAAAAGAATGAGCCAATCGGATGGATATTATGGAAAGCAAAGCCTTGTTACAAGAATGATTAGTCTTCTGTGACTGAAGTGTTACTGGTCTCTTTAATTAGAGTTTCCGGTCTTTTCTAGGTCCCTAATTACCTGACAGACCAAAAAGGACCATGAGAATTACAATTTATAAACTGAGTGCTGTGAATATCACACCCTTCACAACTCCCAGATTCCTTTTATTATACATACAACAGTGTCTTTGCTGTCCTTTTTCATTATCTTTCTCAATTTAACCACAGTGCTAAAGTGAGGCTGCCTTTGTTAATTTTTGTTGATATAGTTTCCCTTATTATGACCTTAAAGGCCATTGTTTGACATTTTCAGTAAATGAGTGTATTTTTAGTAATAAACACTTCTCTGAGTCATGAGGCTGCTCTGTGTATGTGTGCGTGTACTTGGCACCAAGAAAATCCTAGCAACAGCCCAAAGAGAAAGATACAGTAATTCAACTCTTGGGGGCAGTTATGCTGGTTGCAGCAGATGGCTGGAGCTCATCAGGAGGTTGCTTTTTTTTAAATGCCCTCATTTGAGCAAAACCAAACAGGAAGGATGTTTGACCTTGAGTATGATAGCAGTCCCATCTACATCAAAGCATAATTACTCCCTCCACTCTAATGACCATGGCTTTTTGAAATTGCAAGTTTTATCTTTAAAATGTTGTTCTACTTGTCAGCTCAACTCTTGCAAGGGAGAGAGGATTACAGGCTGCTGAATTTGGGAGTCATTATAAAGTGAGGAAGTGATGATCAGGAGTCAAAGCAGGGATAATTCCTGTCTATAACTCATGAGAAGGAGTATTAGAATAGGAGGGAGGAATATTCTTGCAAGATAAAACAAGGGGGAGCTATCTTCAAAATCTTACTGAAGCCAAAGGGAATTGTGCCCATTTTGTCCAGCTGTACATTTAGTACAACTACAATGAGCCCAGTCACAGGGCTCAAGTGCCTATACACTAATGCTAGGAGCATGGGGAGCAAGCAGGATGAACTAGCATTCCTG